ATATATATAATTATATATACAATATATATAATTATATATATACAATATTATATATAATAATTATTATATATAATATATGATATATTATAATTATATATTATATATAATTATATATTATATATTATATATATATTAATAATAATTATATATTATATATAATTGAAAATCTACATATACAATACAATACAACATATACAATACATTATATTATACAATATTACATTACTACAATGTTATACAAAACAATATTATATTACATGTATAAACACACACATATATACATATAATGTGTATTGTATATATACAATGTTATATTATAATGTACATACAATATGTGTATGTGTGTAATATAAAGATATATATATATATATATATATGTACATTTTGAAATTGGTTTCAAACTTGACCAACATCGCGATAGTCGTGTCTCATTACGCGTGCAAGTGAAATTTCAATCTCTCGTACAAGGCGCGTAATTTGAAATTACAAGAGAAACTGTCCACGAGAAGTGTTGAAGTTGAAAAACTGCGTACGTACTTTGGCGAGCCACTGCAAAAGATGCAGGTCGATAATACACGTCGATTAATAAAAAAGACGGGAGGACACGGAAGTCGATTAAATTACCTCCAGTCAATCATCTTCCGGCTTTGTTATTAGAAAAATGGCCCACGTGGGACGCTGTTTGGCGGCGCGAGTTTCTAACGATTCTCTCCCGCTTCAGATTTTCATTTTCTTTTTTTCTCTTTTTTTTTTTCTTTTCAATTTCTCAACACGTTCGACCGTGTCGACGTCAAAGCGAAAAAAAGAAGAAGAAGAAGAAGAAAGAAAAAAAAGGAAAAAGGAAAGAAACGAAAAGAAAGAAAAAAAAAGAAAAAAGAAAAGGACAAGTCGAAACAACCATCGTACGAGAGCGTTCGAGTTAGGAGAACAAAAGATGCGAGATAAAAAGGATCGACGCATGCAAAATTCTTTCGCACTTACTCCTGCGATAAACTAATTCCATGTAGCAGAACAAAGACGATAAGACTTATAATTGGCAAACACTTGAAACATGCCGTCAGCAGGGACGGCTGCTCGGCCAGTAATATAAAATATACGGACACGCTTTTAAAGAACGGGACTAGCTTTGGGCCGACACTTTTTAACTGGAACAGACAAAATCGTGAAATCGGCATCGGACGGCGTGCAACCGTGAACGGTGTGTAACCTAACACCTCCTTAACCGAGACGCCGAACGCTAATTGTCTTTTCTCTTAACCCACTTGAACAACCTGGTCGTATCGATTACTTATCAATTTGTCGTCTCTATTTTTTCCCACTTTGTCCATTCTATTGTCATTCTATCTTCGCTTTGTATAATTTTCCATTGTTCTGTTTAATTTAATTTACTTCACCTCAGTTGAACAAAGTTGAACTGGGAATTGGGAACTGGATCAAATATTTATGAAAAACAAAAAAAAAAAAAAAAAATGTCACGAGAATTTTCCATATACTTTTTTCGAAATGAACTATTCAACCTGAGACTTTTTTTCCCCCCATCACCGTTGAATGATAAGTTGTCGGATGACGACTCAATTATAATTTCTCTTATTTCCTTATTTGTTGGTACCAATTGTTTTCCTCGAGAAGATGGATCAACGAAAATAAGCTTCAAATGGGTCAAGATACATTTTATTTTCTTATCTTGATTGTTAAAGGAGTCTCAGTAAACAAAGTGTTAATTAAGTAAGGATGATTCTTTTTTTTTTTTGTTAAATGCATCATTTATGCGTATCGTGACGTTATGCGTGTGACATTTGTTACGGCAAAACGAGTTAAAGAAGTCACGCAGGGCGATCGAAGGGAGAGAAGAAGTTAATAACTTTGTATTTTAGCATGGGACAAAGAAAAAAAAAAAAAAATGAAAGAGAGAAAAAACAAACGAGGTACGAGCGATAAGATAATAGAACAGTACATATATTATCGTAACGTGATAAAACACAATGCTCTTGTGTTAATTGTTCCATATCCCTGTGCAATCATAATATTTGTCCCGGCTTAAAGTCCACGAGCCGAATACAAAAAATGTCTCTATGCGTTAATGACGTTATTAACATTAATACAATGCAAATGTTAACGTGACGCACGTTAAAATAACGCGGATAATTGAAAAACAGCAACAGAGTTACGATAGGATCCTGAAAGAACGGCCAATTTCAATGATGATTCAAATGGCATGGTACTAAAAGGAATCAGTTCTCAAGGACTGATTTCACTCTTTGTCCAGAGCGAAAGATGCGTTTCAGTGAAACGCGTTGATTGATCAATTGCAGGACCGATGGAGGATCTTGCTCAGGATGGTCGATCAGTATTTACTGACCAAATTTTAATTAACACTAGAACCACCACAGAATGATACGATTCCTGGAAACTTTACTTTAGAGATTTAAATGATTTCTCGTGATACGTACGAATAAAAGTTTCTGCAATTGTATGTACAAGACTGCACTGTATGTATCATAAAGTTTTTCTATTCTTCTTGTTTTAATGTTTCTGATGTTTCTGAAAGTTTGTTTCTTTAACCGTCGGTAGGTTCCAGTGTTAATTTTCATGCCGTGGTGAAAGCCAGCGAAGTCGAGGGAAGTTGATTAGCAGTCGCTTTTGCCAATTGCCATTTCGTTATATTGCGTCGTGACGAACGGGGGCCGAGTAAACGGAAGGCATCGTAATTCTCGCGGCAAGAGATACGCCGGTGACGATCGATTTCAAAAGCAAGTCCACGGGTGTCCTCCGCGGTGTTCTTACTTCCAGCTGGCGGAAACGAACGCGTGAAAACGGGGGCTGACTCCTGCAATACTGCCAACATTGGTTATTAATAGTTCGTAAACACAGGACGAGAGTGGCATTGAAAAGAGAGAGAAAGAATTAAAAAAAAAAAAAAATGAAAGGAGGCGACTTCGCTTGTTCAAAACAAAGGGAACAGCTGTTCGGTGGGAACGGTTTTTTATCGCGCTGTGTTTTGCGTCTTTGTGACTCTACCCCGCTACAGGGCAAAGTCAATCCCTCGAGGGCCTTGTCCCACGAAAACGAGAAAACAACGAACTTGTTTTGCAACTGAGAACTGTCAAGACGCGGACAATCGGGAAAGTGTGCGAATTCGGCGAGAACGATTCATCGGAGAAATCGTTGGAAACTGTGAAACAGTTCGTGACAAGGAGAAACATTGCTCACCACTTGTGCAGGCGATGACATTTTCGATTAAACGGCGATTTTTCGATCTGAACGATGACATACACCTGACCCACGCGATATTTTCCACTGGACTGTCAGTTGCCACACAACTGTCACAATAGGCTATTCCTCCCACCCAGCCGAAGCGTTATTTCGCCGCGCGAACAACATTGCCTCCCATTGGTCGATGTTGCAACGGCGGTTTGCGATAGCCAATAGGAATTAGTTTCTCTTCCTTCGATCCTAGAGTTTTCCTTGAAGTTTCCCACACTGTCTTGTGGCGGATAATACGAAATAATAATAGAACAAGTTTTGTAATTTCAATATATTTGATACTGTAAATATCATCTTCTAGATCCAGTTGAAGCGATTTTTAATGGATATTAATAGATGTATTTTATGAATAAAGACATGGATATATTCTGTGAGTGACCGACGATGATATATCATCGTAACTTAAAATATATCGAATCGATAAAGATGACGTGTAAATCTCGAATGCATTGTTTGAAAAGTACAAGATTTATGTAATTTGGAAATGAACACTGTAAGAGATGATATTTTACATCATTTGAATTTATTTTAAGTTAGAAATACAAAAATAAAATCATATTTAATGATAATGTTACGTGTCACTGCGTTACCTGGTTCGAGTAATAACTAAACTGAGTAATTACAATGAATTGAAATATCTTTTTCATTTAGAAAATCTTTGCTATTCGTTTTCAATTAAGTGAAAAAGAAATTATAATGTAAAATATTTCATCATATTTTCAAAGAAATTATAATGTAAAATTTAGACAAAGGAACGTTGAGAAATTTTTGGATCATAAACAGAGAAACGCGATTACTAGGACATCTCATGTGCTTTTGCTCAGTTGCATTTTATTAAGTTTGTGAATGAGAGGAGCGAAATATTATGTCTCACGAATGAAATATTTTTTGCCGATTACTGTTACAAAATAGCCGATTGGATGTTTTCTCTTTGTTGAAATTTCGAATGGTAATTTTGATAGTAACGTGTATATCTAACCTAATACAGTGCTGAAAAACATCTATTGTGTCTGTCAGTATGTTGCCAACATTCAGATGGAGGTTAAACTACCAATTTAAACAGCATGCTCGTAATTTTATGATATTAAAGGTAACCATGGTATTTTCTTGGTTATTTATTTTCTATGGAATTTATTTTTCCCCTTTTCTGCAATATCAAAATTTTGTTCACAGCATCAGCCAGTCCTTGGATTGAAACATCATGTTACCAAACTGTCGGTAATACAACACATTAGATATAAATCTGGCACTCCGTTGAATACTATTGTATTATTTGTACCACAACAAGAGGTACACAATTATTTCTGTTATTACTATATTATTTTATTAAAGTGAAATTTATCTTAATATTAATGCCAGTTATTACTTCTAGGCATGGATTGTCGAAAGAATGGGAAAGTTTCACAGAGTGCTGAATCCAGGTTTAAATATACTTGCGCCAATAATTGATAGAATCAAATACGTTCAAAGTCTGAAAGAATTAGCCATAGAAATACCTCAACAAAGTGCAGTTACTTCAGGTATATATTGTCAGTTATTTAAATTCTATGAATGTGAATACAGTATTAATTATGGTATTCTTTTATTCGTAGATAATGTAACATTAAATATTGACGGTGTGCTGTACTTAAGAGTAGTTAATCCATATTTGACTTCATATGGTGTCGATGATCCAGAATTTGCTGTGGTTCAATTGGCTCAAACCACAATGAGATCAGAGTTGGGAAAAATATCCCTAGATAACGTATTCAGAGAAAGAGAAGGACTCAATGTGGGTATCGTTGAAAGTATAAACAAAGCCAGCGAAGCTTGGGGAGTAGCTTGTCTACGATATGAAATACGTAAGGTTGCATGAAGAAACATTTTTGATTTGACAAAGTCAAAGTTATTATTACTTTAATTCCTTACCATAGGTGATATAAGATTACCTCAAAGAGTACAGGAGGCAATGCAAATGCAGGTAGAAGCAGAACGCAAGAAGAGAGCTGCAATTTTAGAATCAGAAGGAACTAGGGAAGCAGAGATAAATATAGCGGAAGGAAAACGTTCAGCACAGATTTTGGCATCCGGTAACTAATTGTGTTTTTATTTACGAATACTTTATTTTATTTAGAACTTGATAAACGATTTACACACTCTCGTTACAGAGGCTGTAAAACAAGAAGAAATAAATAAAGCGATTGGCACTGCACAGGCTTTAGTGGCCATTGCAGAAGCACGTGCGAAAAGTTTAAAACTGGTAGCAAATGCTCTCAACATATCTGACGCAAAAAATGCAGCAGCATATAGTATAGCTGAACAATACGTTAAAGCATTTAACAAATTAGCAAAGGTCAATAATACTTTGATTTTACCCAGTAATGTTTCTGATGTATCTTCCCTAGTAACGCAAGTACGTTGAGAATTTGGTCACATTTGTTACTTCAGCAATGTACATAGATTGTACATTGCTATATGTAATTTATATTTTCAGGCAATGACAATATACAAACAAGTTGTGTCTCAATCTACCTTAGGTAGCTCCAATGTGAAAGAAAGCAATGTTAACGACTTTGACGAGTCTTTTGAGTATTTCAGTGACAAAGAAGAGGCAGAGAAGCATAGAAGAAACGAAAGAAACGAAACTCCTAAAGTATTGTAAAGTATTTGTATATAATATAAATATATTTCGATTTCTATTCTCTATCTTTTGTAACTCTATTTTTATGGAGATGGAGAGAAATAAATAATTACAGGTTGATAATAACAGAACAGTTTTATACAAAAATTCATAAGTTAAAAATAATTACAAGAATAATTCTTAAAGTTCAAAATCAAGTTTTTATGACTTCCTCACTTTCTCTTCTTTGTATGAACCGAAACTGTAGGTACTGGAATCGAGTATGTTTCTTGGGAAATTCGATTAATATAGTATAATGCAATCATAGAGAACAGAAAGCACGTTGTTGTTGCTACTCGATGCACTAAGCCTGATGCAATCAAGCTGACTATTAATGAAAAAATAACTGTAACAAGAAAATCATTATCTTAAATAGATAATACTTGATCTTTTAATATCGCTATTGAGTAATATACCTTCGGGAAACAACTTTTGTTGAAATGATTTGCCAAATATTGTTGCCTCCAAGTTTCCTATTGCAGTTAATACACACATAAACAATATAGATCCAATATATCCTCCCAATATTGTATAAATCTGTGACGATGCCAAGGGAGCTTTGTATATTTGCATTCCAGAAAATACAAGAACCGTCAAAATTGATGACAACACAAATGATACTCCGCTACTGACAGCTGAAAGATAAGAAATACTTTACTTCAACTGCTGTTTTCAAAAAAATTAATTTAAATTAGAAAAACCGGTATCAAGGTGCGTATGGTCAACTTATCAGTATACATTGTTTCTTTTAATTTTTTTTTTATATTTTATATGTAATTTGTAAAGCTTTATACGAATAAGTCGAAGTATGATTTACAAATTTATACGTACGCATTTTTAAGAAAAATCTTTATAGTCAAAATTAATTCATAGATTTATCAACGTTCACTACCGTGCTGTGTTGTCACAACGTTCAGTTATGCCACTGTCCGTCGTATTAATGTCCCTAGGATTTAATTAAACTGAATCGAAGATCGTCGAGACGAACAAACGGAAATAATTGAAAATCTGTGCTTTGCCTACTATTTGCAGGTATTTTAACTGTAGATTGTTATTGAAAAATTTCTTAAACTTCCAGTTTGAGATTTAGAGTTGTAAAATTAAACATCTGAAAACCATATGAAAAAATTAATTTTCAAATCTAATTTTAAATCTAGTGCAATGAATCGCTACTTATTTATTCGTGTACAGAATTTTACTACAATCTTAGAATTCACTAGAACTCTTGCTAAAAGTGCAACTAGAAAACTTCTAGTTATATTTGATTCCTAGAACCGACCAGAAATCTTCGTTGCATGTTTAACTGTGTTGGTATAATTTTTAGTTTATTAAAACGCATAATCAAATTTTGTATAAGTGGAAGATGATGAACTGCTTAAAATGAACGATAATTTTATTTCCCTGGCTAATCATTGATACGTCATATATTAGATGGATTATTTGGCAAGGAATGTGCGTGCGCAGCGATTGGACCGTCATTATCGATTTTGAACTCGTCACAGAGGCATTTTCTTCGATCGATATTTCAATTAACATTGTTATTCTATTTCTATTTTCCCCTCTTTGCCATCGAAAAATTCCGCAACTATTTTCAAACGAGAATGAAACATGTTTTAGTTTTACGTGCGTGGTTTGCAAAAATGGTGCATTGTTCGAAATCATGGAACGTCAAAAAGACAAATTGAGAAAACAAATCAACCATAAATTTACAACAAGTCGTTAATTCGTCAATTCGTTAATATTTAAAATCAATTTACAGTTACACGTTTCTTGTAAAAATTTCGTGCCACGCTGTTGCCTCATTATATGGCCAAAACTGTGCCTTGTAAGTTGACCACCGCAGTCCCCACCATTTCTTGGAGGTGTTTCCGTGGAGCAAAGCCCCGTCGTTATTACTTATTACTTATTTCGTTACTCTTATTTTTACATAGTACAAGAATGAATGATCATTTTAACAAATTTAAAACAAATTAAGTATGTTGAATTTAATACTGAATACCTATTACTATTTCCTTCATTCTTTCTATTTTTTTTTAAATTTATTTTATATCGACGTAAAATTTCTTTAATTGTTATATATAATTATAACGTATGTTTCGATGAAAGAAATCCTCAAGGTATTTCGGACTCACGCTCTGACGAATCGAATGTGTCGAGTGGACGTCTCGCGATTCGGATGCATTTCGATATTTTGAATGCTTTTTAGCACTTGATCTTTAGTACACGCGTCCATTTGCGTTACGTATAACTTCCCTTTTTCGACTCACGGTAAATATTTTATAATTACCATATATATGTATACATCTTCAGATCGATTTCAAATTTAACCAACGCGTGGTCGGTTGCGTTTAGCGGAGCGTTGGCAAAATGCCTCGGTAACTGGCCGCGTTCGATCACATTGGCTCCGAAGTCGCTTAGCGAGGCAGTGGCGAGTACGTCGCTGACAAGAAGCTGATTTGACTCGAGCGGTATGACGTCAGAGGTGGTAGGCCGTGTTCGCGGAGGAAGAGTAGGATTGGCTGTCAGGAGTGATCGGTCCGGCGAAGGAGTAGGAGGCCCCGGGTCGCCATTTTGGGCTGGTTGCGAGAGCTTTCCGTCGTCGCCTTGAGCCGCGAGCTGCCATCCGCCCAGCTGGAGCCGTTCACGCGCGCGCGATACTCGCCAGCTCTCTCGGGCCGAATTCGATCGAATTCGCCGACGTCGAAGGCAAGTTGCGCAGGCAGGAGAATCGTGCTCGATCCGACGGGGAACCGGCTCCACGCACACGTCCCTTCCCGATCCCGACACGTACGTGAAACAATGCGCGTGTGATCGTCGTTTTCGCCTCTTGCTTCGGTGTGCTCTCGTCTCCGGGTCCGTTGAAACGCCAGTTCGCCGAGCGGTGGTGGTGGTGGTGCTCGCGTGTGATATCCGATCGTCGGGGCTGTAGAACAGTTTTCTGGTTGTTGGTAAATAGCACGACACACGAGAGAAAGAAAGAAGGATTAAGAAGTCGAAAGGTGCGCAAGTTTCGAAGGAGAAGAAAAAAAAGAAAAGGAGGAAAAGTTCGAGTGTGACAGAAGCATCAGGGACAGTATGGCGGGACAGACGATCAACGACAGGCTATTGGCAGCGAGACACAGCATCGCCGGCCAGGGTCTTGCCAAAGCTGTCTGCAAAGCGACCACCGAGGAGATGATAGGACCGAAAAAGAAGCATCTCGAATGTAAGTTCAATAGATTCGATACCTCTAAGATATTCTCCATTGGAAAGTGTTTTAGATTCCTCTTAGATGGAATTACTTTTTTCTAGGTAAGTTTTAGTATTTTTCGCGCTGACGAAAACTGTTCGTTGTAACTAACGTTATAACTGTTGATATCCACAGGGAAGTCATCTTCGTTGCAAAGGCAGCTTGGGTCTTTTAATTTGAAATTCTGCTCTTGCGATTTGCATACAACTGTATATCTGTTTATCGGGCTGACTTACATTGATCGAATTCTGCTTTTAGAGTAGAGATT